ATCAGAGCACCCGCGAGTATTCCACGTGGCACGGCCGGGCAGTCTAGGCCCTTGCCATAAGCCCACGAGACAGGGCGACGGGGTCACATTATGGTGAGTCTCTGCTCGTCTCTGCGAGCCCCCAATGCACTAACATGTTTGGGTATTTGTTCTGAGTTGGCCTCTGGCCTTTACGCACTAACCACCATGCGAGAATAGTTATGGGCCTCGACGTCGCAGTATCAGTTGAAGCTTTGCCAGACGTCCAGTTCAGCATTGTGGCCCTGTCGGGCCAGTTCCCTCCAGTATGAGGTGGTGCTCGTCCCGGCTCGTCACACAACGACCCGGAGTGCTGCAGGCAATGGGCCCAAGACCCCGGAGTGCTTAGGATGTAGACCGGCGGGGACCTCTTTGCTAAACCTAGGTAGGGTTGCGACGTGTTGATTTTCTGAGGCCAGGCATTGACCCCAGAAAGGTGTGTCCGGTCAGAGTAATCAAGCGTGTTGGGTAACATGGTGCACCCCTGCAGGGAAGATATATATTCGAATACCGTGTCCATGGTAATGGACGTTCAGACTTGTATCCGGATCTTATATAACTAGAAATGGATACTTGAGATATGTGATGGATATGTGGCTCCGAGATTGCTTTCTCGCAGGGAGTCGAGGAAGGACCTCTGGGCATTGATGCTACAACATGTTTGTTAAATATTAAAATGCTACTCTTTACTCTCCTACATGCTGCAAGATGCTCAGAGCTGCTTGAAGATGCTACTCTTCGATAGGCTAGGCCTTCCCCCTTTATTCTGGCATTCTGCAGTTCAGTCCACAGATACAAACCTTCCATTTGATACCAATGCATACTTAGTATAGATCTCATGCTTGCGAGTACTTTGGATGAGTACTCACGGTTGCTTTGCTACCCCTTTTCCCCTTCTTTCTTCTTTTCGGTTGATGCAACCAGATGGTGGATCCTTGGAGCCAGATGCCACCCCCGTTGACTACTACTACATGGAGGCCGCTGAAGACCAGGAGTAGTTAGGAGGTCCCAGGCAGGAGGCCTTGCCTCTTCGATCGTGTTGCTTTTGTGCTAGCCTTCTTAATGCATCCTTGTTTAACCTATGTCTGTACTCAGATATTGTTGCTTCCGCTGACTCTTGTGTATCGAGCTTGTATTCGAGCCCTCGAGGCCCCTGGCTTGTAATATAAAGCTTGTATTCTTTTTTTTGTGTTTAGAGTTGTGTTGTGATATCCTCCCATGAGTCCCTGATCTTGATCGTACACATTTGCGTGTATGGTTAGTGTACGATTGAATCAGGGGCGTCACACGGGGACACGACCAGGAGAGGAGCGGGGTGTGGGCCACGTGACGAGCGCGGGGCCCGGACGCGGTCACAATGACACGGCGGCGAGCAAAGGAGGGTTCAAGGGGGAAGAAGGGAAACAGAGGGGGGGATCACTGGCGTTGCATAGAAGGGGGGCGACGAGGCTCGATAGAGCCAGCGGTGAGGCGGGATGACGAGGTGGCGTCAGGTGCTCCCCCCGAACGACGGAGAGGACGAGGGAGGAGGCGAGAGGTAGCTAGGGTTTTTCAGGGGCGGAGAGGGGGCGCCGGGGCTGCCTTATAGGCCGGGGGAAATGAGGATGGCCGCCACGGCGATGGCAGAGGCCATGGCGGTCATCGGCGGTGCCCACAGCCCCTGTGATAACAGGGGAAGGGGGAGGCGGGTGAGTAGGCTGGCCCGGTGGTTGGGTTGGGGCAATGTGCAACTGGAGCCCAGTTGCACAGTAGCTTGACGCCTTTTCTTTTATCTCTTTTATGTTTTTATTTTTATTTGTTTTCTGTTTTCTATTTCTTTTTAAACAAATTAGTTTTATAAAACATAAAACTTGCACCTAAATTAGTATAATAAAATAGGCCACTGCCACAATTTTGTTGGCACTTAAATAAAATAGAGTACAATTTTTATAATTTAAAAAGTGTTTAAATCATTGTTTTGGCCACTGTTTTAAGCATTAAACCATTTTATAAAATGTTGGTTTCACCATAACAATTATCCAGGGTTTATTTGCCACATTATGAACAATTTATTTTTCATGTTTGTGAATTTCTTTATTTCACTTATAATTTGAATTTGAATTCAAGTGGAATTTGAAATGAGATATGGAATCAAAGGTGATCAAGCACTGTTTAGCAAAATGATTTAGCTTAATCACAGGGGTTATTGTAGCTCAAAATACAGGGGTGTTACAGGTACCTAGGGTTACACATGGTCGGTTGCCAATCTAGGGATTTACATGCCGACGATCGATGTAGTCCTTCGAGTACACGTCAAGTCTTTAGGGAAGTCCACCTTGATCACACCGAAGTGTGAAGCTTTTGGAGTCCTTCCTTATAAGAACGGTGGATCGTAGGTTCAGCCCGTGGACTGTGGGCAACTAGGTTGGTACCCCTAGTCCAGGACACCGTCACCAACCAGGACTGCACAGGACAAAATTGGCTTGTTTGGTTGCCTGGCTTGCATCTGCTTCTCGAGCCGCACAGAAATTAAAGCACCCCAGGGCCTGTCCACGAGGGAACGCCCGAATGTTTTTTGTCGTGAGCCAGTCTCGCTCGAGCCATACATGCCCTTTTGCTGCACGCCTCGGGGAGCGCAAGAGACGGACGTGATTGCTCATAACTCCCATCCATCTCTGCAGTCACCTCCCATTCCCCATTCACACCGCTCTCTCTCACTCTCCCCACCACCCCTTGATGCTCGTCCGATGGCACGCCCGCCGTCGCGCTGCCCCCTCACCCCCCTTATCGCCAACAGCAACCCAAATCCAAGATAGGTGGGTGGCCAGCCTCGCGAACAGCATCACTGACCTGATGGCGACCATCTGCGCACCGTCCCCCTTCTGCACCAGGCTACGTCCTTCGACCAATGCGGTGTCGGCCGCTCCGGCTTCTCCTCTGTATCCGAACCTGGTGTTCCTAGGTTCGAATGCGCCGCGGCGGGGACCCCATCGGGTGCGCTGCTGTTGGGAACCCCAATCACCGGATGGGTATTTTTTACCTCCATTTGGGAGTTTTCTCTGAGGATCCTGTCAGGGCCATGGAAGATGGCGTTCTCTTCCTCTACCTCCTGCGTCACCAGGAGCACTGGCTCATCGGCGATGGCTCTGGGCATGGTCGGGTCATCCTCTTCGGGCGGCCCCTCGTTCCCTCCAGGGTTTGCTCCTCGGTCATCCTACGCTCCAACGGATACCGCTCTGGTAAGTTCCTTTGTTTCCCCTCTGCTCGTATATGTAGTTTAGGGTTTGTGCTTAGTGAGTATTAGGCATGTATTGGATTGGATTGGATTTGAATCCAATTGAATCAATTCGAATTCGATCGACTATTGTTGACTTATAATGCAGATGGGAACTGCCTCGGGTGTCGATGCAAAATTGGTGCTTGTTGATGTTGCTAGATTGGTAGCCAATCGTGCTTGTTGTTCGTGCTAGATTGGTAGTAAATCGTGTTTGTGGTTCATGCTAGATTTGTGCTTGCTTTTCGTTTATGCTGCACAAGTGTTGCTGCCACTGATTATTGCTGTTTGTAGTTAGGGTTCTGCATGATTGTAGTACGTGCATGGTGATTACGGTAGGTAGGACAAATGTGCATGCTCGTATATGTCGTAGGACCAATGTGTTTGCTTCTATAAGTAGTAGAAACAATTTGAATGCTACCAAAGTTGATGCCATATTCAACACTTCTGAACATAACACTTGTGCATGCCGTCAAATGTGGAAGTGGCACTAATGAGTGGCAGTTGCCAAACATGCAGTGCTATGTTTAAATCATAGCACTAATGATTGGCAACTGCCACTGATTAGTGGCAGATGCACTTGGGCAGTGCTATGTTCAGATCATAACACTGATTGTTTGCCACCGCCAATCATCAGATGTTGTTGCCAATGTGAGACTGCACAACACAAGTATGTAACGGGAGAGCAGCAGTAGCACAACTTAAGTATCCATCCATGGGGTGATCCCCAACATCACGGTGTGCGTGACACGCACATATGCGTCGTCTCCGTCATCGCCTCGGGAATCTGACCGCGTACGCATGGGGATGGGTGGGGGTTGGAATTCGCGCTGGCCCATGTCCATCCTGGGCGAACTCATCCTCCTGGAGGCGCTGGCGGGCTTCGTCGGCGCCCACTGGAGCCGCCACCACCTCCCTCTTGCTTTGTACCTCTTCACCATGGCGGTGTGATGCTCATCGCGCTCCTCGACTTCGTCGTTGTCGTCGCCAGCGGATACAGAGGTGAGGCCTGGGGCTGCGGAGAGGCGTGGCCGACGCTAGTTTTCCGGCCGTAGTGGCCGATCCAAAATTTCAGGGGTGTGAAGAGGCGTGACTTGCTGGGATTTCGGTGGAAGACGTGCGTGGGATTGATGTCCTGTGGCAGAACATTTGATCTCAGCCATTAGATTGGATGGCAGACCACCGAATCAATTAGGACCGTTAGATTTAAGTTTGTGGATTAGATCCTAAGGTGCTTGTTGCTTTGTGTACATCAAATTTGGTGGCCGTAGAAAAATTCATGTTTGCTTTTTTAATAATAGTGGAGATGTACATCAAATTTGGTGGCCGTAGAAAAATTCATGTTTGCTTTTTTAATAGTAGTGGAGATGGAGAAAAGTGAAACCCACCTCACCTGGAAACGCCGCCGCGGCCACTTCAAATCCACGCCCACCCCTGCCGGAGCGCGACAGCTCTCGCTCTCGGAGCGAATCCGGCCAAACCCCCCCATCGCTGCAATCCATTCCGCCCGCCGCCTGCTCGGCCGTTCCCACCCAGCAAGCCAACGCAAGTGAAAAGCAGCAGGATCAGTACCCGCCCCCGTCCCGTCCCGCACCACACCGTGTGCCGACGCCACGCGCCACCTCGCCGCCTCGCTCGCCAACGTTAACGCACCGCGCTCCCATCCCACCTCGCCCTGGCACAGCTAGCAAGCCGCCCCCCGCGGTAATAAAAGGACAGTGGATATCAGATGGCCCACTCGCTCTCGCTCTCCCTCTCCCTCTCCCTCCCCACGCGCGCGCCTCTGCTCCGCCTCCTCCGCCGCCGCCGCGGCCCAGCCCACTCCGTCGCGCCGCCCAGACTCCCCGTCTGCTCCGCGCCTCCTCGCCCCCGCCGCGGCGCGCTCTTCCTCGGACCCGGAGGTACTTTTCCCGCTCTCTTGCCCCGCTCGGTCGATCCACCACTGCCCCCAGCCCGTGCTACATCTGCTCGGCTGGTCGTCGCGCGCCTGGCTGTTAACAGACGCGGATTAGGCTGCGCCCGTGTGGATCGATCTAGGATCATGCCAGTTTCTTCTCCTGGATTCTCATTCTGCATCACCGAACTGCGCTCGCGTGGGAGGCTTGCGATCCGGTAAAAACCGCAGCCAACGAAATAGGTGTGGTAGGGGTGGACAAACGTGGAGCGTCCCATTCCCAGATGCTGGGAGGCCGGATCGTGAGCGTAGGCCAAAGAAGCGACGAATTATGACAAGTAAGAACATGGCCCGTGATAGAGAAAGAAAGGGGATGGTGATGGACACGGTTTTCAAAGACTTTTAACAGAATTTCCACGGAGTTTTCACTATAATACTGTGGTTTCCACCGAAAACTTTCTCAGTTAATGATGAGCGGCACTAGCACGACTACTATACTACCACTTTCCCTTTTGTCAGTTTACTGATCATTCTACAGTTATGGAGTAACAGAGCTAAAATTTGTAAAATTGTTCACACCACATATCTAGTGCAGTTCTGCTTACGTTTAATGCTATAAATGTGTAATCTACGTAATGACAGTCCATACATTTGCTTGCTCAAATCTGGTAGGTGCGGGTGGAAGACGGAGAAGTGGAGTGGGGAGCAGAACTATGTCGGCTTCCATATATTCGACAACGGTGGACGCTGAATCGGCAATGACCAAGAATGGAGGGGATGTGGAGCTGCTGCCGTTCGTGTATGACAAACATGGAGGTATCATTATTGAGATGACAAGCCCGATGGATCCGCAAGCCTTTTCAGCTTCCTTGAAATCTTTATTGTCAAAATGGAGGGAGCAGGTAGGTTCATCAGCCATGTGTATACCTCAAGTACATAGGATTTTTTAGTAAGATTAGTAAGATGACTTGTTAAAAATTCCATCATCCGATAAAACACATGCGTATATGTGCCGCGCAGCACAAATACAGTAAATGCATAGATAATATTTGACATGAATATTATCCTACAAGGTATTTGATGTGCAAATGCGATTGCAAAATGTCTTTATAAGTTATCACTAATGTTAAAGTATTTTCAGCTGCATAATGCACAGCTTATTTCAACAAGCTTTTTTCCTTGACGTAGCCATGTTCACTAGGAAGGCTAAGATCAGATTATTTCAACAAGGGGATAAGCTTTTTTCCTTAGAAACATTGACTCATTCAATTTGTATTTTGATTAACGGATCAGCAATGGTACCCAAGACAGGCCATCGATAGGCAAAGATTAGTGTATGTGGATATTAATAAAAAAATTAATTAATCATGGCTACGTCAAGGAAACAGTGTTAGAACTTAGAATGCACAGCTGCACCCAGTTGTTTACTATTTTTTTGTCTGATCTTTCCATTGATTCTACTTGTTTTCATTGTAGGGAATAAGAGGTGTCTGGATAAAATTGCCAATCAGCCTTGCCAACCTTATTCAGTCAGCAGTAGAGGTAAGTAAACTCACATATTTCATGTTTCTTTCGTAGCGAAACTAGTTTCATGACTTTGTATTCTTGATTTAACTTGTTGCCTAACTTATTCTTGCATTGGAATACTTAGTAGAATCATGTACTTCTTAGTTGGAGATAACAATTGTTCTAGGTTTTGATATCAGTAGGTGTTAATTTATAACTCTGTCTAAACAGTCTTTTCTTTTTCCCTTTTCAAAGAAATAACAGGAGAGTATCCTTATCTTATTTTATAAAATAGCAAGCCAGATTTATATACAGCAAGCTGTTTAAACTTGCTCTGAATCCCTTTTTGCTTCATTTTGATTTAGGAAGGATTCTGGTACCATCATGCAGAGGAAACTTACCTAATGCTTGCGTACTGGCTCCCGAACACGCCTCATACATTGCCTGTAAATGCTACTCACCGTGTGGGCGTTGGAGCTTTTGTAATGAATGACAAAAGAGAGGTATCAAATAAATATGAAAGCACTATTTAAAGGATTCAGATAATCATGTATGTGTGTGGCTATCTTTCTAGCCTTTTAAAATCGACTTTATAGGTAAATTATGTATCTTGTGTCATCACAAGGACTCAATTTTTTTTTCAGGTATTGGTTGTCCAGGAAAAAAGCGGTGTACTTAAGGGGCTTGGTATATGGAAATTCCCAACTGGAGTTGTTGAACCAGTAAAAAATTCTGCTCAGGACATGTAGAGATGTTATTCGCAGATCTTTCTTTACCACCTTCTCTCATCATAATCTTAAAGATCTTGATACATGTAGGGGGAAGATATAAACATTGGAGTTGTAAGAGAAGTAAAAGAAGAGACTGGGGTATGTATTAGCATATATGTGAACTGATCCTTACAGAATACTGCTATAGCTACTCATACTCTTCCTTTTCTTCCTGGATGATGTATTAGGTTGATGCAGAATTCGTTGAGGTACTTGCCTTCAGGTAACAACTGGAACTAATTGTCCTTTTTTTGTTCCCTCATTTCTTAAAGATCCATAGTACAATCATGAATTTTGTAAAAGTCAATCTGATACCAACTTGGCAGGTATTTTTTTTTTTTTTTGAAACCACCAACTTGGCAGGTAATAGATATTTATGTGACACCTAGCTGCCTTCTGGTACAGCATGCAAAATATGTGCTTGAGATGATATAAGGAGGTTACTGAGATCTGCTGACGTGAAACTCCATAACCTTCTGCTAGTAAGAATAATCTAGGCAAAAATAAAGATGGAAGACATAGTATCAAGCAAACGCTAAATGGAAATTAAATACTGAAACCTTCTTTTCTTTTGATCTATTTCAATGACTCTACTTTTTTTTTGGCAAGAACTATATGTTTAGCTTTAAGTGTGAACTAACTGTTGTCTCTCTCATGTGGGTAACCAATGTGCAGGCAGAGCCACAAAGCTTATTTTGAAAAATCAGATCTATTTTTTGTGTGCATCCTAAGGCCACTTTCCTTCGACATTACTAAACAAGAGTCTGAAATCGAGGATGCTCAGGTAATTCAGAGCATCATGTTGTTTAATGCCGCGCTCAGAAAAGGAGGCATCTTCTATTGGTTTACTTCAGCATCTTCTCAACTAGTACTTCTGTGTAAACACTGCTGATGCTCCGTTTCTCAAATGCAGTGGATGCCGGTGGAGGAATTTGCGGCACAACCATTCGTCCAGAAACATGAACTCGTGAAGTACATTCTCGAGGTCGGCCTGGCTAAGTCCGACAAGGAATATGCGGGATTTTCACCAATCAGCATAAAATCAGCGTTCTCGCCGAAACAGTCCTTGTTTTACATGAACAGGAGGGACCTCGAGAAAGCCTCAGGACCCATCATCAATACACAAAAAGATAGCTGAAATTCCAGTCAGAGTTACGAAAGGGTCGAAGCACTCATACCCGATTACTCTCTTGTTCGATTGGTAGCTTGTACGCCTGATTTTGACCGTATGATGCCTGCCCCCTACCATTATATCGATTCAGAAAGAGATATAACCTAGCAGAAGTGCGACGGAAGTTGTTGTACTCGGACATCAAAAAGGAAGAAATTATTGCAGTAGTTGTGTTGTCAAATTTGTATCGATGAGCGCACAAATAATGGAATATGTCAGAGATTTTTTGTTTTCTTTTTTCTCCCCTTGCTGTGCTGCAGCATCTGTGTAGATACCGTTGCTGTGCTACCCCTTTTTACATGTCAACGTTGGATGGTTATATGGATGCTAGTACATTATTTAGAAATGAAGCCAGCATTGCATGTATAGTAGGTACTCCCTCTGTCCCAAAATAATTGTCGTTGATTTGGTACAACTTTGCCAAAGTTGTATTGGGACGGAGGGAGTATATATAGTGTAAAAAAAACGTTTTACATTATGGGACTGAGGGACTATAACATGTTGATTGTAATAACATTGGGAGTAACCAGTTTGGTGATGGATTTTGCTGTGGTACCTTTCTTTAGGTGATCATAAGTGCTGCTTCACCCATTCAAAAAGGCGTCGATTAGCAAATGCAAGAAGAAACTAAGATTCCATTGCAGTGTGTGGTGATTTTTCCCCCTTTTTTCTGAAAGTTGGATCAGGACGCAGTGTTCCGTCAGAGAAATCGACGAAAGAAGAACATTTTCTGCTGTGTGTCGAGTTTGTATTTCTGATTGTCCCCCGCAAAAAAAAAAGTATTTCTGATTGTGGACTGATCTGTTGTAACACCTCTCTGAATATGTAAGGGGTGTTCCCACAAAAAAATAATTATGTAAGGGATGTTTTAAAGAAAAATGGGATCAAATCAGGCAACGCGACTTCACTGTTCACCATTAGTTCAAAAATTCAGATAGTTTGCTAACTGACGGCGCCCGGCCAGCTTTTCGCTCGCGGTGCTTGTTCGGCCGCTCTGCCACCCGCGCCGCACGGACTGCCGCCTTGCGCCGCTGGCCCTTGCCGCCCCGCAGTCTTCCAATAGCCCCTGCCCGTCGGATGCTGGACGCCCCGCCGTCGAACTGCGCCACCTCGCCGCTCTCTGCCCGCCAGCACCTGACTGGGTGGCGCTGCGCAACCACCGCAGCATCTACCGCCGGTGCTAGAGAGGGAACCAGGCGTCCGTTGGCTGGACACGGTGATCCAGTCCCGTCTAGCACCGACGGGGGACTTCGCCTATCGCATAGCCTCCACCGTTCGCTGGTCCTCCTGTGCACACCACCTGCTCGACCAAATGCTCCGCTAGACCAGGGAAGCTGATTCCATGTCCTTCCTGGCATCTGGCCGTGCCCGCCTCCTCCGGGGCATCTCCAGGCACCGTCCTCCACAGCAAGGTGCACGACCTGTCCATCATCCCGACGTCCGCCCCGACATAAAAAGTTGTGCCACTAATGCTGCGTTTTTTTGTTTTTGAACTAGGACGCTACACCGCGTGCTTCCGGCGTTACAAGGCGCATTTCTTGCTGGACGGGACTGATGATGCAGCGGAGAGCGCCGTCGAATCGCAGCAACCACCGGTGTCTCTGGCGAAGAGTCTGGCATCTCTCGCCGAGGAATCAACCATTGCTGCTCAGAGGCAGCGGAAGCCCCTGTCCCGGATGGAGCGGAAGAGGCTGGCCGAGCTCCGGATAAAAAAGAGGGTCAAGGCGCAGTATTTGAATGGCAAGTTTTACGATCTCATGGGTAAGGTGGTGGCTACCATTGATACGCTGGAGGATGCTTACGACATTGTCCGGCTGAACTCTAATGTCGATCTGGCATCTGCAAGGGACGATGTTTGCTTCAACGCATTGGCAGAGCAGCTCAGAAGCGGAGAGTTTGATATCGCTGCGAATTCTTTCTCAGTAGCTGCAAAGAGGCAAGGAGGCGAGCGCATTGTTCTTCCACGGCTCAACTTGAAAGTTATCCAGGAAGCAGTTAGGGTGGTGCTTGAGGTTGTTTACAGACCTCAGTTCTCCAAGATATCACATGGTTGTCGGAGTGGGCGAGGATATCACTCGGCGCTAAGGTTCATATCCACTGAAATTGGGGTTCCAGATTGGTGCTTTACTGTCCCCTTGTACAAGGAGGTAGATAGTAATGTGGTCTTAAAGCTTATTTCACAAGTACAGGAAAAGATTGTTGACGACCAGTTAGTGGCATTCATGCAAGATATGTTTGATGCCGAGGCGATCAATTTGGTATTTGGAGGGTTTCCCAAGGGCCATGGAGTTCCTCAAGAAGGAGTACTTGCACCCATCCTGATGAATATATATCTTGACAGTTTTGACCATGAAGTATTTAGGATTTGCATGAAATATGAAGGCCTTTATTCAGGTGCAACAAATGTTACAGACAACCAGGGATCCAAGTTGCGTCTCTGGTTTAGAAGTCAAATGAAGGACATGGATCTAAATAATGAAGATCAAACAGAGGGCCAGCCAAACGTGAGGTTATATGCTTGCAGATACATGGATGAGATTTTTGTTGCAGTTGTGGGGTCCAGAGACATAGCAGAAACTGTAAAGTCTGAAGTTGTTGATTACTTAACCAAATCGCTTTACCTGAAAGTTGATGATGGATTGTGTCTTGTGCCAGTAAAAAAGGACTCTCGGGGGTTGCAGTTTGCTGGCACTGTAGTTAAGGCAACAACAAAAGAAAGTGCTGCACTGAAAACTGTTCATAAACTGAAGGAGAAGGTCCGTTTATTTGCTTGTCAGAAGCAAGAGATATGGGATGCTATGAATCTTAGGTTAGGAAAGAAGTGGTTGGCATATGGTTTGAGAAGGGTAAAGGAGTCTGAGATCAAGTCACTTGGTCTTAGTACTCCGTTGCTGGATCACATTGCACAATTTAGGAAAGAGGGCATGAAGACAGATCATTGGTTCAAAACTTTACTTAAGGTATGGATGCAGGACATCAATGCCAAAAATGAAGCTAATGAGGAGGTGCTCCTGTCAAAATACATTGCTGAACCAGCACTTCCGCAGGAACTCAGAGATGCTTTTAACAACTTTCAGAAGCAAGCTAATGATTATATCTCATCAGAAACTGCTGCTACAGAAGCACTGTTGTCCAGCTTGAAGAATAAGGAATCAATGTATACCTGCCCTGATGATGCTGCCATTAAGATTTATGCGCCTCTTAGTTATATCAAGAAGTGCCTCAATCGCTATGGTGTAACTAATCTTGAAGGTTTCCCTAAACATGTTTCAGCCCTTGTTTTGCAAGATGATGAGCTAATCATAAGTTGGTTTGCAGGAATAATTCATCGTTGGGTAAGATGGTTCTCTGAGGTTGACAATTTTAAAGAGCTTCAACTTATGTTAGTTGAATGTGTCAGGAAATCCTGCATTCGGACACTATCTGCAAAGTACCGAATGTACGAAAAATTGACAGAAAAGCGGTTTGAACTTGATGATTATGGCATTCCAATGGTCGAGGACTTTGAGGCAATGATAGCACAGCTAGAACCTAGTTCTTCCTCAGTTTCCGCTGATGAAGCTCTGACGTATGGCATTTCTAGTAGTGGCTTATGTGTGCTCACCCTCTCAAGAGTTAGAGTCCCTGCTCGGAAATTCAACTGCTTTGTCATGGGCTGCCAATCTTCGTCACCAAGTTTGTACATCATTCATGTGAAGGAGAAACAGCGGTTTCCAGGATGGAGGACAGGTTTCTCATCATCAATTCATGGGAGTTTAAATGGTAGACGAATTGGGTTGTGTACTCAACATGTTAAAGATCTATATCTAGGACAAATCTCCCTTCAGTCAGTTGATTTTGGTGTGCTGATTAGATGACTATAAGATGACCCTGAGGTTTTCAGTATGAGAATACCTTTTCTCTTTTATTGTTTGCAAATTTTAGCTGCTCCCATGATTCTCAGAAATATTTTCTTTTGCAAAGTATTTTTTTAAGATTAATTGACCGTTATTCAAGAAGCACATATGTGCAAAGAGTTTGAATATTTATAAACTCTGTCCAAAATTTCGAAAGAGCTTCTACAAATCCAGAAAGTATATTTGTATTTTTTTTTCGAGAAAACGCAAATGGCTTTTGCGTTTCATTGCATTGGAAAGAGAGGGTATTTACATCCTCCTAGGAGGCAGTTTTTACACACACCCAACAGAGGCTCAGTGCACATCCCAGGATGATGGCAAAACGACCCTGAGCCCTTGAGCTCCAGCCTTTGCCCAACATCTGGTCTCGTCTTTAATCCTGTCTACAAGCTCATACAGCGATGGGCTCACATGGTCGAAAACACATGCATTTCTATGCTTCCAGATCATCCACGGCACCAAAAGTGCCACAGATTTGAGCGCCTTGCGAAGCGCTGGCGGTGTGAATTCCTTTGCGCGCAGCCACCAATCCATGAGCGAGCCGTCGTGCTCGGGCGCCGGCGCCGGCAAGCGCAGCCAAGATAAGACCTCATGCCATGTCTGCTTAGTGAATGGGCATGTGAGCATCAGATGCCCGATCGTCTCCGGTTCCTGATCGCACAGAAGGCACCGCGGGTGGTGTTGCAGGCCACGACGTGCAAGTCTCTCCGCGGTCCAGCAGCGATCTTGACATGCATGAACATTGCTTGAACCTGATGCATCTCTATTCTGAATCTACTTATACTAAGTTCATTAGCTAGCCTCTTCTATTTACGAAGAATCTCTACTGCTATTAACAGTTACTTGCTCGAGATGTTCCTTCAGGAATTGGTGAGTTAGAAAACTTTGGTGCCATTGCTTCAAACCTTGCAAGTCTGGCCAAGCTTTGGGTGCCCTGTATGTGTTAGTGTGATGACCCGAAACTTCTCTTCGGCCATCCTCAGCGATGTGCGGATTCACTAACTATATTCTTTCTCAATGGTTTCTTCAATCAGGCTGCTCTCTAAGTTTCCTTTGTGTCTGGTGTGCCCCTGGGCTTTCTGTATCATTTACATCTTGTAGGGCCCCATGATTAAACTGCACTGAATTTTCAGTGAGGGTTTTAAACTTTTTGACCTGCTGAATTTTCCTTCAGGGTCATGTTCACGGCACTCCGATTCCAAGAGGCTGGAAGTCTGCTGTTTCAAGGTCATGCTGTACATGCCCATCTAATCTAAGTGCGTCTAGAAGTATGCTGCTGTCAAAGAAGGCAGCAGGAGGTCGCCGCCATGAGGGTCCGTCATTTGTTTTAGTTGCTCTCAGGGATTATCAGGTTAGTTCGGGTACTGATGTTCATACGTTGCATATTGATTATGATTTGGTTTCATCTCCAAAGAACCTCGGGATGATTGCAAACAATATTAGCTACAGTTATAAACATGGAGTAGTCCAGGAAATCTCATATTGTCCATTTTTATCTATTCCACCTGGAACTACAGAAGCTTAGCAAGCAATTAGAAGCTCTAAGAACAACCATAACTTAACTTCGCATGCATGCTCTTGCTTCTTTACCATTTATTTTGTTACTGGCATAATAATATTAAAGGTTAGTGCTCCCAACTTATGCCGCTGGAGTGCATTTGAATCTGGTTTTAGCTATAGCCATAGCAACCAACACAAAGCTGCCATCCCACCTGGATAAGGACTGAGGTTGTCACCAAGGCCACGTAGCTAACTGCAAAACATGTTTGGAACGCCAAAGAGTGGGTACGCATAAATTGGATGTCACCTGGATATGTTGAGAACGATGATAAAGGAGAAGATAAAATAATTTCGATCACATGTACAGAGATACAGTACAGTACACCCACGGGTCGGTCGGTGGAAATAGTCCAAATAGTGTGTCTACCACACGGTACCTCAAATAGTGCAAGTAGGACCAACCGTGTCCGTGTGTGTCTGTGTGGTACCAAGGCAAATGCAGCTAACTGGAAAGATGCTATGCTACTGGAGGTCACTTCTAATTTGGAGTGTTCTTATTGTCAATGGTTTCTTCCTCCTTCATCAGGCCTATGGAACTCTGAGCAACGCCGACCTGAGCTGCCATTAAATTTGCGAGTTGGGCGATCTGCCGTTTGCCGGAGTGATGGATGCCGCGGTGCACGTTCTCGTGTCCCCCTGGCCAAGGCAGGGACACATCAACCCCATGCTCCATTTCGCCACGGCCCTCGTCGATGCCGGCGTCCAAGTCACCTTCCTCCACACCGAGCACAACCTCCGCCGCCTTGCCCAGGCGCCTCTGCCACCTCGCCTACGCTTGCTTTCTATCCCTGACGGCCTCCCAGACGACCACCCTCGCAGCATCTTGGAGCTCTTGGAGTCCATGTGCACGACCAGCAGCGCCGCGTACCATGCCCTGCTCTTGTCCGCCGACGTGCCGGTGACATGCGTTGTCGCCGATGGCACCATGCCGTTCGCCATCGACATTGCCGAGGAGCTCGGCATCCCCGCGCTCGCCTTTGCCACGCACAGCGCCTGCAGCTACCTGGCGCTCCTGTCCATGCCCAAGCTCGGCGAGCTCGGCGAGAGCCCCTTCCCTGCGGACGACCCGGTGTGCGGCGTTCCAGGGATGGAGGGCTTCCTCCGGCGCCGAGATCTTCCTCGGGGACTCTACTGCGCTGAACAAGGCGACGGAGACCCCTGGATGCTCAAGCTCGCCGAGGTCACCGCTCGTTCCAGCAAGGCATGTGCGCTCATACTCAACACCGCCGCGTCCATGGAGCAGCCAGCGCTTGCCCACATTGCGTCGCGCACAAGCAACGTGTTCGCCATAGGCCCGCTGCATGCCAGGTCAAGGTTCGCCGCAAGCCCAAGCCTGTGGAGAGAGGACGACGGGTGCATGGCGTGGCTGGACAGCCATGAGGACCGGTCCGTCGTGTACGTGAGCCTGGGGAGCCGCGCGGTGATCACACACGAGCAGTTCACCGAGTTCCTCTCCGGCCTGGTAGCTACTGGGTACGCTTTCCTCTGGGCGCTTCGGCCGGACATGGTCCAGATGACCAGCTCCGCGCTCCTCCGAGAAGCTGTCGGGGCGGTGCAGGGCAGCAAGGCACGCGTCGTCGAGTGGGCTCCTCAGCGGGACGTGCTGCGGCACCGGGCGGTGGGCTGCTTCCTGACACACGCCGGATGGAACTCGACGCTGGAGTGCGCCATGGAAGGCGTGCCGATGGTGTGCTGGCCCTTCTTCTCCGACCAGCAGATCAACAGCCGCTTCGTGGGCGCCGTGTGGAGGACAGGGCTGGACATGAAGGACGTCTGCGACAGAGGCGTCGTTGAGAGGACGGTGAGGGAGGCCATGGAGTCCGGCGAGATCAGAGGGGTGGCCCAAGCTATGGCGCAGCAGTTGAGGCTGGATGTCGCGGAGGTGGGGTCGTCGTCGTCCGAGTTGGAGCGGCTCGTCCGCTTCATCAGGGAGCTCAGCATCAGGTCCTGTTGAAGCCCAGAAGTAATGAAGACTAGCAGAGCCTCTCATGCACTACATGTTCAGTTTCTTACTTATTCAGTCTCAGAACTTATTCTAGCATTTCCCGAACATATATATGGAAGATGAGGAAATTGTAAGAGGAATTCGGTCTGTTGACTTGACACCATTTCAAGGCAGTTCCCCACAATTATGTTCTTGTGATATAAATTCAGATGTGCCAATTTTTACTTTGGTAGTCACTTGGTTCTACTCTGTAAGAGGAAAATTATGCTTATTAGTACCAGCAAGTCGTCATGAGAAACACAGCTACTTATGTTCTATAGTTGGAGGCTTAGAGCATATAGTAGAAGCTGCGGTTTTGAAGAGCCGTCCCCTATGCAACTGTTACTGAGAAGGTGACAACCGCCAACGTTGAGCTGCTGCTACAAAGGCAGGCTCAGAGACAGAGCAGAAGGTAACGCGCCGACGGCTCCAACTGGGGCGGAGGATCACAGCAAAACCGGAGAGAACCCCTTGGCATCCGGCAGCGCGGCCGACGAGCTGACGGAGGGGTGGAGGAGGTCGTGGCCGGAGGAGGGGAAGAGGATGCGCAGGCCTCGCGAGACGAGCAGCAGGAGCAGCTGGAGCCTGGTGGGCTTGGCCAGTGAACGACGTACCGTCCATGAGTCGTATCCGTCAATCCGTGTCCGACTCCGGTCGTGGCCGCAAGCCCGACTTCGACTTGCTTTCCTGGTCCTGGTGTACCAGCATATATAAATTGAAGCCAGGCCATGGTGTACCAGCATCGCAGACAAGCGCTTTACGTTAGTTCCTGGTTTTTCGTTGGCGAAAGAGTTGGCCAGCAGTAGTAGTAGAGCGATCCGCCTCGGCAACGCAAAAGCGCCGCCGGAATCGATGAAGCTTCTTCCGGCCGTCCTCGGCCTCGTTCTCATCCTCCTCCTCGTTCTGAATCCCAATGGCGCGGAGGCCCGTCCTGCGCCTACCGGCGGCCATCAGAAGAAGGCGTTGAGCTACACCTTCTTTGTCTTCGGGGATGACTTAGCCGACAACGGGAACCTCCCTCCGACCGACCCCGTCACTAAGATGTCGAGGCAATGGGCCTACCCCTACGGCTCCAACTACGTCGATGCCGATGGGTTTCCGCGGCCGAATACTCCGTCCGGCCGCTTCTCAAACTATAAAATCCAGTCGGATTTCATCGGTAAGTGCTATGTTATATTACCATAGAAAAGTACTATGTAATCTCATGTGATGTTGTAATCCCTGCTGCATCGTAATTGACCCTACCGTACTCGCTGCTTCACTAATAACTTGCAGCAACCATGATGGGGTTGGAGGAAGCACCTCCGGCGCATGCCCTCACAGCCAAGAAAACCTGCGACCCGTCCGGCATGACCTTCGCTACGGGTGGTGCAGGTGTGTTGCAGAGTACATCGCATGAGGTCCCCGCCCTTGCCAAACAGGTCGACACCTTTAGAAAGATGGTGAAGGACGGGACCATCACAGGAAAACAATTGAGTCAATCCGTAGCGCTCGTGGCCTTCTCTGGCAACGACTATGCAGGCACCAATGTCATTGGCCTAAGCAGCCCCAATGATGTGAGTGTCATATCAACACACAATATATGCATGCACTAATTTGAACAATTAATTCGTTTGTGCATCTTACTAACTTATAATTTTCATGTATGCGATGTAGATTAATGCTTATATTGGAAAGGTGACAAAAGAGATTGCAACTAATGTGGATCAATTGTTGAAGCTTGGGGTGACAAAGGTTCTTGTCAATAACTTGCACCCTATTGGTTGCACGCCGTCACACACCCGAACCACCAACTACACCACGTGTGATATTTTTGGAAACTTGGGTGCATCCATTCACAACAATAATTTGAAACAAGTTATGACATCAAAGAAGAATGTCTACATCATCGATGTGTACACCGCCTTCGTCAATATTGTGGATCATGCGGCAGGTACGTATCTACATGCATTCAAAAGTGTCTCATTATTTTAGAATTATCTTAATCTAATTAGATGGGGTCTGATTGTGTACTTGAACTACTTTATCTGAACATTTTTAATTTCATGTGCATTAATGTAGGTAAAAGCTCGGAGCTGTCTAAACAATTCAAGCGCAAACTATCGCCATGCTGCGAGAGTTTGGACTCGAAGGGTTACTGTGGACAGCAAGGCGAGTCATCCGCGGAGCTTCTGTACACTGTATGCGACAATTCTAATAGATTTTTCTATTGGGACGACATGCACCCGACCCATGCAGGGTGGGAGGCTGTCATGAAACAGTTGGAAAAACCCTTGAGGGAGTTTGTAAATCAAGCCTAGGGGCTTTATGTATTTGTGTAGATCTTTGTATCCATTATGACAACCTTCTGATTGTATTTGATAGTTTCATGTATTTCAAAGACTGAGATTTTCCCGATTCCATAATGAATATTATATTGTATTTGCATCTTCTTTTGTGAAGACTATATTTATAAGAAGTAACTAATGTCATATGCCACATCTACAATAAAGATGTGTTCTAGCTATACAAATTGAGTACTTGCCTATATACGGCTCAATAAGCTCAAAGCAATTTCAAACCGGTTGAATTTTTTGTTGTCGGTTTATAGGTAGTCTACGGGGTCAGCATCTTCTACGGGTGAAAGGTGCTTTGTCTTTGAACTCACGACTAAGGAGGGTAAATTTGCCTATGGATATGCGAAAACTTTCTTCTAACCACGGCGACCATTGACCTCTTTATCTGGACCTTTTGCATGTCTTTAGGATTGCCACGTCCCATTGATTGCGTCTGGTATAGCTATCTCATTTGTATTCAAAAACTGGTATTCATCCTCTATGTCCATGTTCTGGTACAAGTTCTTCTTTCATTTACTGTTTATATAGCTTCATGTATCAAGTCTTGCTCCCGGTCCATGGCAGCTCACACACGATGCGCGCCCATACCTGGACGAACTTCATCTATCCACCCCGCGGTTACTTGAAGTTTAGTAGCAATACTTATCAAAGCCCAATTTGTAAATTAAACTTTTTTCCTACATAACTGGTCATTTAGGCTCACATTAACGTTAAAAACATGTCAAACATAATCAACATAGCACACCACTCCAACTCAAGCCCACGACCGCTGATACAACCAGTTTGTCGAGGTGCATTTTTTTGCTTGATTTTATCGTTGCATGACGATGGTATCATCCCGAAATAACACGCACGTGTACAGTGCTAGCCCAACCAAATTCTTTCTATGTAATTCATTTGTTTAAATTAAGCATTTTTTTGGCTTTCCAAATCATTCGCCACGCCGATTCTTGTTTCTGTGCGTGCAAAGCACACCCCAGCATTTCCTCCATTTATTATCCTAGAAGGAAAAACTCTTGCCAACTCGTTCACACCATTCAGATATTAACGACTGACCCAACATCCACATCTGTTGAATATATTATGTATGTATATTGTGTCGTAGACGCATCTCCTAATTTTCCTGTATAGTTGAGATTGTGGCCCCGTCTTATACTACATCATAAATACGTGCCTGATGCACCCGATCAATGCATTGAGAGTGACACGGCCCAAACCTCATCTTCTACATGGTATCTATCGCAGTACGATCCTAAACCTAACCCTAGCCGCCACCGCCGCCGCGCCTCCATTGCGCCGTCGCCGCCGCCACCCCCTCACACCGCCGCCGCCGCCACTGCCCTGTGTCGCCGCCTACCCTTCAGAAAGATGGTCAAGGACGGGACCATCACAGAAAAACAACTGAGTCGATCCGTAGCGCTCGTGGCCTTCTCCGGCAATGACTATGCAGGCACCGGCGTCATTGGCCTAAGTAGCCCCAACGATGTGAGTATCGTATCAATGCACAATGTATATATGTGTACACTAATTTGAACAATTAATTTGTTTGTGCATCTTACTAACTTATAATTTCCATGTATGCGATGTAGATTAATGCTTATATTGGGAAGGTGACAAAAGAGATTGCAGCTAATGTGGATCAATTGTTCAAGCTCGGGGTGACAAAGGTTATTGTCAATAACATGCACCCTATCAGTTGCACACCATCACACACCCGAACCAACAACTACACCACATGTGATATTTTTGGAAACTTGGGGGCATCAGTTCATAACGATAATCTGAAACAAGTTATGACATCAAAGAAGAATGTCTACATCATCGACGTGTACACCGCCTTTGCTAATATTGTGGATCATGGGGCAGGTATGTATCTACATGCATTCAAAAGTGTCTCATTGTTTTAGAATTATCTTAATCTAATTAGATGGGGTTTGATTGTGTACTTGAACTACTTTGTCTGAACATTTTTAATTTCATGTGCATTAATGTAGGTAAAGGCTCAAAACTGTCCAAACAATTCAAGGGCAAACTATCGCCGTGTTGCGAGAGTTTGGACTCGAAGGGTTACTGCGGACAGCAAGGCGAGTCATCCGCGGAGCTTCTATACACTGTGTGCGACAAGTCGAGAAATTTTTTCTATTGAGACGACGTGCACCCAACCCATGCAGGATGGGAGGTTGTGATGAAACAATTGGAAAAGCCCTTGAAGGAGTTTGTAAATCAAGCCTAGGTAGCTGGTTATATATATGTGTGTAGAGCTTTGCATCCATGATGAGAACCTTCTGATTGCATTTCATAGTTTCAAGTATTTCAAAGACAGGATTTTCCCGATTCCATGATGAATATTATATTGTATTTGCATATTCTTTTGTGAACACATGGAAATAACTCTATACCCCCGCAACTAGACCCGACAGTCGGATTGGCGGGGCCGATAGCTTTTTCTTCAAACAATCCACGATGGTTCACTAGCCTATCGCCATCCCGAAGTGACCCTTTTCCAAACATCCAAACGGTAGTCCACTAACCCTGGACTAATGGTTACATGCGGTTGACTTGACTGATATATCTATTGTATGGGCTTGTTTTCTACTCCCTCCGTTTCCAAATACTTGTCTTTCTAGGCATTTC